ATACTGAAATTCGAGAAATGGAAGAGAAAATCTCATAAACCTATGATATCCCTACATGATTTTATTTATACAATCCGGTAACACATCATAACCGTTGAAAAAAATAATTATTATTATCTATAGTTTTCAGTAAAATAGTGAAAAAAATTTATTCGATATATAAAATGATGAAAATTGTACCCTTTTATAGTTGATTAAAATTAAATTAGTCTCCGAAATTTATTGTTACCTTGGTAATATGTTTCTCACATGTAAAAGTGCCTTTTTTTTGGGATAAATGTTGAAGTAATTATGGTTTAAGCAACTTTAAAACGGTGAGGCAGTAATGATGTCTCCATTAATTTTTTTAATCACTATTTATTGACTGGAAAGTAATTAGCAGAATTCATTTTACAGGCAAATTTGGTTGGAAAGTGCAGCGGGACCATTTGATTTTCATACCAATTTTTATTTTATGATTTAAGGTTGTAAGGAGTAAGGACCACATTGCAGGCTTTTATTCAACAGGGTCACAAACCTTAATAAATTTATGCCAAATTAACTAAAAGAATAGGGATATAATAGCATATGCAATGATAGAAGCCCTATACATATACAGGGGCGGCAAAGGGCACAGCCTCGATCCTTAAACACAAAAGCTCGGCTCACTCGATCGATACTATTCAACTCGTGCCCACAAACTAAGCCCCCGTTGGTTTAATTTATAATTTTTGGAATAGTATTTTTTTGAAAAATGTGTGGCTAAAAAAGAATGAAAAATTTTCGATTTATGTGTAATATTATTTTATAAAAGATTGTGCGATTGAAGATAAAAGAAAGGAAATTATAATTTCAAATAATGGTGGCCAAAAGGGAAATAAGTTTGGTTTGATCCTTCAACTTGTGGGTGTCATAGGTCGAGCCAAGCATTCACGAGCTCAAAACCCAACTCTTGAGAGAAGATATCTAGTTCTACTTTGACTTGTAAAAAAAGAACTAGAGACATTCATGGACAGAACTAGGACGAGCGAGTTTGTGAACAACTCTGCTCGGCTCAGCTCATTTGTCACCACTATATTTTCAATTTAATTAATTAAATTGTGGCTCTCGCATATTCGACTTTATAAAACGTCGATTCTATGTTCTTCAAACTTCACTATATGCTCATTTAAAAAAAATAATAAAAAAGAAATTTGTAACTACATCAAAGGGAGTGAGTTTTCTCAGTTAATGAACTCATGAAATAAAGATCTTAAATATAGGAGAATAATATTGAATTGGTTGTTTTAGCCTTCCACATAGAGGTCCTTTGGGTGTTGGTCTAATATTTGCGATGAACTAAGTCTCTTCTTCTCCGAATCTAACATAAGTGTGGACATAGAAATTCAAAGAAAAATGTGGGTAAAAATTTTCAATGACCACTGTACTTTCTATATTATTTCCTAACAGTCACTGAACTTTCAAATTTTCTTGATTGACCATTGTGCTTTTAACGTTGTTCTCCATTGAGAATTAATAATTTCGATAATCTGACAAACAAAACCGTTAATTTTCCAAATGATTTAAAGTAAAGGGCATTGAATTACAATGAACATGTTATTTTTTTCTCAAACTTAGTCAAATAAAGCACATGGTTCTTGAAAACCAACATATGTGGACATAACAAGATTGTTTCTTAATAGTAGATTTTGTTTTCCTTTATATTGGTAGAAGTGATGGTGTTGGACCATAGAATTTATAGCTAATTATTTTCAAAGGGAAAAAAATTCACAAACTGCCAAAAGGGAACAATTTAGAACCCAAAAATTGAAAGGTGTGGTTACAATGATGTACACAAAACATGTTACCCCACTCACATCTGATAATATTCAACTTGGTAGGCGATTATTGCTGCACAGTTGAAGTTATGGTGAATTAAAAATGGAAAAAACAAAAAGTCACATTCTTTCCCATCCCCATTTGAGATCCGTGTATTGGGAAAGTTAGAATAAAGTCTCACAATGGTTAATTGTGAGATTTATGATGTGCTCATTAGGGAATTGAAATATTCCACCTAATTTGTTAACGGTTTGGAATGTAATTTCAATTCCCTTCAAGTGGTATTAGATTTAGGTCATAAACTTAGTTATGTGAATGCACGAGATAATTCCCAATTGGAGCCGAACAAAATTGGTTGGCACTGAGTTGGATAATTATGGCTAGAAGTAGTTGATTTATAAGTAGATCTTCACTGCTGTAAAATTGAAATGGATAGCTTATTAGTGAATTTTTCGAGCATTTCTATCAATTGTTGTCCAATCCTCCAATTGAGAGTCGTTGAACTGTAAAGAATACTGAAATTCGAGAAATGGAAGAGAAAATCTCATAAACCTATGATATCCCTACATGATTTTATTTATACAATCCGGTAACACATCATAACCGTTGAAAAAAATAATTATTATTATCTATAGTTTTCAGTAAAATAGTGAAAAAAATTTATTCGATATATAAAATGATGAAAATTGTACCCTTTTATAGTTGATTAAAATTAAATTAGTCTCCGAAATTTATTGTTACCTTGGTAATATGTTTCTCACATGTAAAAGTGCCTTTTTTTTGGGATAAATGTTGAAGTAATTATGGTTTAAGCAACTTTAAAACGGTGAGGCAGTAATGATGTCTCCATTAATTTTTTTAATCACTATTTATTGACTGGAAAGTAATTAGCAGAATTCATTTTACAGGCAAATTTGGTTGGAAAGTGCAGCGGGACCATTTGATTTTCATACCAATTTTTATTTTATGATTTAAGGTTGTAAGGAGTAAGGACCACATTGCAGGCTTTTATTCAACAGGGTCACAAACCTTAATAAATTTATGCCAAATTAACTAAAAGAATAGGGATATAATAGCATATGCAATGATAGAAGCCCTATACATATACAGGGGCGGCAAAGGGCACAGCCTCGATCCTTAAACACAAAAGCTCGGCTCACTCGATCGATACTATTCAACTCGTGCCCACAAACTAAGCCCCCGTTGGTTTAATTTATAATTTTTGGAATAGTATTTTTTTGAAAAATGTGTGGCTAAAAAAGAATGAAAAATTTTCGATTTATGTGTAATATTATTTTATAAAAGATTGTGCGATTGAAGATAAAAGAAAGGAAATTATAATTTCAAATAATGGTGGCCAAAAGGGAAATAAGTTTGGTTTGATCCTTCAACTTGTGGGTGTCATAGGTCGAGCCAAGCATTCACGAGCTCAAAACCCAACTCTTGAGAGAAGATATTTAGTTCTACTCTGACTTGTAAAAAAAGAACTAGAGACATTCATGGACAGAACTAGGACGAGCGAGTTTGTGAACAACTCTGCTCGGCTCAGCTCATTTGTCACCACTATATTTTCAATTTAATTAATTAAATTGTGGCTCTCGCATATTCGACTTTATAAAACGTCGATTCTATGTTCTTCAAACTTCACTATATGCTCATTTAAAAAAAATAATAAAAAAGAAATTTGTAACTACATCAAAGGGAGTGCGTTTTCTCAGTTAATGAACTCATGAAATAAAGATCTTAAATATAGGAGAATAATATTGAATTGGTTGTTTTAGCCTTCCACATAGAGGTCCTTTGGGTGTTGGTCTAATATTTGCGATGAACTAAGTCTCTTCTTCTCCGAATCTAACATAAGTGTGGACATAGAAATTCAAAGAAAAATGTGGGTAAAAATTTTCAATGACCACTGTACTTTCTATATTATTTCCTAACAGTCACTGAACTTTCAAATTTTCTTGATTGACCATTGTGCTTTTAACGTTGTTCTCCATTGAGAATTAATAATTTCGATAATCTGACAAACAAAATCGTTAATTTTCCAAATGATTTAAAGTAAAGGGCATTGAATTACAATGAACATGTTATTTTTTTCTCAAACTTAGTCAAATAAAGCACATGGTTCTTGAAAACCAACATATGTGGACATAACAAGATTGTTTCTTAATAGTAGATTTTGTTTTCCTTTATATTGGTAGAAGTGATGGTGTTGGACCATAGAATTTATAGCTAATTATTTTCAAAGGGAAAAAAATTCACAAACTGCCAAAAGGGAACAATTTAGAACCCAAAAATTGAAAGGTGTGGTTACAATGATGTACACAAAACATGTTACCCCACTCACATCTGATAATATTCAACTTGGTAGGCGATTATTGCTGCACAGTTGAAGTTATGGTGAATTAAAAATGGAAAAAACAAAAAGTCACATTCTTTCCCATCCCCATTTGAGATCCGTGTATTGGGAAAGTTAGAATAAAGTCTCACAATGGTTAATTGTGAGATTTATGATGTGCTCATTAGGGAATTGAAATATTCCACCTAATTTGTTAACGGTTTGGAATGTAATTTCAATTCCCTTCAAGTGGTATTAGATTTAGGTCATAAACTTAGTTATGTGAATGCACGAGATAATTCCCAATTGGAGCCGAACAAAATTGGTTGGCACTGAGTTGGATAATTATGGCTAGAATTTTATTCATGGTTGATTGCCATGGCCGTCGATAGAAAATGGGAACGAAGTCCTTCATTAATTAAATAGATATTAGGATAAACAATGTATTTAAAAAATGACTTTTACGTTACAAGCTATGGAAATGATGGGCCAATGGGCCAATTCAGTTCAAGGAGGGCAAACTTCGATCTTCAATTTTAGTCCTTATTTGGTCTACATTTTCTTGGAACTCATTTTTAGTCACACATTCTCTTGTAAAATAATTTTACACATGAGTTTAAATATTTTCTTATTTTTTAACAACACATTTTATTTTATTTTTTGAAAAATTAATATTTCAAATCATATTTTTCTTCAAAATCTCATTTTAAAGGAGTCCAAATAGGGACTTAATGTTTATTCTAAGAATTGGGCCGATGGGCCAATAGTTCCCATTTTCAGTAAATTTGGGCTTTGACACTGGGTCTACCCGCTTTTCCATTTCTTCTGAAGCGCACCATTATAGTTTTCTGTGACCATGAGATTTCTATTTTATCCAGTTTATTCACTTTAGCTTTTAGTAGCTGAAGGGATAAGCAATGGGTAGTTTAATGGCGAGCTTCGCCGCCGGATTCTCCTCCGCCACCACATGTTCCATGCAATTCCCGATGCCTCGCCGTTCTATACGATGCCCCATTTTCATTCAACCTCCGCCGCGCTTCAGGCCACCTCCAAAATTCGTGTGCATGGCGGTCCGTTTCTATTTCTAAGTTTTGATTAACCTAATAGAGTAGAAGTATTTTATAGATAAATATAAAGGAAAGAAATTGTCAGGGATTTTTTTATTCAGTACTTGTCATTGTTGTTTTTTTGTGAAAACTGTAGGAGCCTTATCTAATCACCAAATTGGAGTCGGCTGAGAAAACTTGGAAAGAATTATCGGTATGCTTTTTCTTTAGGCTTGCTAATTGTAATTATATTCGATGTTTGTTCTCGTCCTTTGGCGCCTTTTATATGATGTGAATTGTGGTGTAAATTTTAAGTGATGGTATTAAATGCTTTGCAGACAATATACACGGAGTCTAAAATTACGGATTTTTCCCTTATATTTGAGTACCTTAAAGAATTTGATTTGAGATTCCCTGTTGAGGTTTTAGGCTTTTGAAATGCTTTGTGGGTTATTCTATAATAGAGAACTTGGAATACAGTAGTTTTGAATGATATTGTAATGACCAAACTTCTATGCTTAAATCGTTAACTTATGCAGTGGCCATTGTGGGAGTTCATGTATTCAACTTAAGTCTCTTAAGGGAGGTCATGTGTTCAAGTTTTGGGGACGCGACAGAAATTCATGAGGTAAGATGGGTTTAGGTTCTCTCAAAACAGACAGTATGTAACTTAAAGGTTTGGGCACAGTGGCCGGGTTGTTACAGCGATGACTAGTTTTGAGTTTCGAATTGGAAACTGTAATGAGTTAGTGTTAAGCAGTAAGCACACATTTATTAATCATTAAGAACTCCAAAGTGCTATACCACTTAATAGACATCCTTGGATGCTGCATGCCTTCACCTACTGTCAATTGTTTTGTGATGAAACAATATTTCTTCATCATTATCTATGTGAGTGTGGTCACAGGACAGAAAGGAGGAATTGTGTTTCTATCAGTAAACATTAGATACTAGTAATAGGTAGTGAACAATAAATATTACTATCATCCGACTTTTTTCCGTGTATTATTGTCCATTTGTTTTCTGTGGCTTCAAATGAAGCATAATGTGATCAAATAGGTATAACAATTTAGAAAAGAGACCAAAAAATTTATCACGTTAAAATTAGGAAAGAAATCAAGACAGTGTAACATAGTACATTATAAAACGTCTTGACTATCAAGTATGACCTGATGATCGATTCAAGATGTCTCACCAAAATATACTTATAAAGGGCCAAACAACCCGACTTGGAATTAATTGTGGAAAGACAAACTTATATGTGATTTATATCTGTCTTTCTTTGAATGAAGGAATGCCTTTACTATATGGGAAAGTTGCATTCCTTCAAAAAATTTTAGTATAACATAAACATGATGCAACTCTTAATTTCCTCTTACGTTTGCATGAAATATCTTGAAACCTATGGATACGCATTGCAAAGTGAATTACAGAATTAGAATATCACTTGCTTCTTCGTTAGCGTCAGACTAAAGTACATGTATTTCTTCATGATCCATACTTGTTGAGGAAATTTAGTGAGACTGAGAAATTCTGAGTTGCCTCATTTGATACTCTTCGAGAACTCAAAATGAGTGGGATGTGACTTTGGACTCTATGTATTAACGAGCGGGAATAAACCAATTGTAGGTTAAACTGGCTGATCCAGATGTAGTCTCAAATCCAAGCGAATATCAAAAGTTGGCACAGTCGATGGCGGAGCTTGATGAGGTACTGTTCGTTCAACCTCCGGTTTAAGTGTAATAGCATATTGTTTTCACTTGATACTTGTCGTATCTATTTTATCTAACACTTAAAATGTTGAAATCATTGAACTTGTAGGTAGTGTTGACATATAGGAGATTCAAAGATTGTGAGAAGCAATTAGAAGAAACAAAAGGTTAACTTTTTTATCCTAATCCTCCATAATATTTCCAAGAATTGGAAAATTCCTGTTGATCTCTCTCTCTCTTTCAGATTTTATTCTTGCAATTGTATTCAGTGAATTATTTTATTTTTATGCCAGCTTTGGAAAAAGAGGTGGGTAACGATGAAGACATGGCTGAGATGATAGCTTCTGAAGTTGAAACCTTAACCAGTCAAATTAAAGAGCTGGAAGAGAGACTCAAGGTTTTTCATTGCCCTCCAAAATTAGTTTACCCTATTAATGAATTTCTCGTGTGATTTAATTGATACCATTTTCAGTTTTCTGAATCTCTACTCTTTTGTCCTATAAAAAATAGGTCTTGCTAATTCCAACTGATCCTCTCAATGAAAGAAATATAATGCTAGAAGGTATGCTATAACTCTTTCATTTGAAATGGGAAGTTAGTTTACTTTAGGTTCACATGCCAGATATTATAAGGGAAACATCATACTTGTCGTGTTAAGAAACTGCAATAGTTAATCAAGGCTTCAATTGTTCACAGTGATAATTATATATAGAGATTAAGTACAATATTGGTTACTAAAACCATAGTGCTGTATCTGAAGGCTCTTTCGGTGGAAACATAGCAATGACATACCGAAGGGTAGAAATGTGAGTACATTATCTTTGTCTTTTCTGGTAGTAGTTATTTACTTACTGAAAAAAGAGTACATTATCTTTGTCTTTTCTGGTAGTAATTACTTTATATTAGGATTAATTCTGAATTTAGTTTAGTATCACTATTTTTTTGTGTTTCTTTAGTATTACCAATTGATGAAATGTGATCTTGCAGTTTGAATTATAGCTTGGTACTTATCCAAACCTAGTCTGTATTTAAACATTAAGGAGAAACTTAAATGAACACACATTTGTGATAACTCATAACAGCATGATTAATAAAATCTAAACCTGAGTATTGCATTCACTCAGACATTCTTTGATTGATCAAATTTTTAAGCTTTCACTGTACAGAACTTGTTTAACGTAAACTATGAAGATACTTAAGGTGTTCAATTTGCAGTTAGAGCTGGTACTGGTGGGGATGAGGCTGGACTCTGGGCTGGTGATCTTGTAGGTACATGTTTCTTTTATCCACATAAGTGCACGCGTTTTTAGATAGAAGATGACTCCAAGTTTTGATTCCATGTCTTAATTTTCGTCATTTATATTTGTCCTTGATTTAAGTAGTATTAAGTCTAACGTCTTATACATTCAGTGCTAGTTATTTGTTCACATGCTGCTCTGGAAATGAGCTATAAGTTGTTGACAGAAACAATGAAGAAAGATCTCTTAACTGAATGAAAAATCTAAAATTATTTGTGTTATCCATTCAATATATACTAGGTACGCATGTATCAGAAATACAGTGAACGCAATTCATGGAAGTACACCATTGTTTCAAGCTCTGAGGTAAAAATACCTATATGCTTAGTGCATATAATTTTCCCTTTGCAACTGGCTTAGTGTTCTTCTCTTTTGAAGACTGAAAATGGAGGATATAAGACATGTGTAATGGAGATAAAAGGCAACAGTGTGTATAGCAAATTAAAATATGAGTCCGGTGTTCATCGGGTTCAACGTGTTCCCCAAACAGAAGCCCAAGGCCGTGTCCACACATCAACCGCAACTGTGGCTATCATGCCAGAGGTGACTCCATTTCCCATTTGATTAGCCTGTTTTTATTCTATCTTGATCTCAGTTTGATGCCATTTCGGGTTCAGGCTGATGAAGTTGACGTGGAAATTGACCCAAAAGATATTGAGCTTACAACAGCGCGTTCTGGGGGTGCTGGAGGTATAGCTCCATTAGTACTTGCCCCTGTAGGGAAATCTTGTTTTTCAAACCTTTTTTTTGTAAACTATTTACCAAAAGAATATTTTTCTTTATGTGCTCTTCAAATTTTCCATTTTCCTTATCTTCTCTCATGCATGAATTTCTAATGCAGGGCAAAATGTCAACAAGGTGGAGACGGCTGTTGATCTTTTCCACAAACCAACAGGAATAAGAATATTTTGCACAGAAGAAAGAACTCAGCTTCGAAACAAGAATCGTGCTCTCCAGCTGTTGCGAGCAAAGCTGTAAGGAGTATAATAGATCATCATATATCCTTCTGAATGAAATTAGTGACTTGCACTCTGGGATTTAAAAGGTCATTACGTATAGTTATTGACTTCTATGGAGAATAAACTATTAAGCAAAAAATGCAAATTTGGTATGTCATTTTTGTCATTTACTCAATTGTTTTTTAGTTAGTTTTGTCTATAAGTTTCGCATAGGGAAAAGTACTAAAAAGTCCTAAAAATAGTGTTGTCCAAAAAAGTTGAAACTTTTTTCTATGATTATCTAAATATTTAAACAATAAATTCTAAATGAGATGAACTCAAGCGGTCAACTTACACAATATAACACCATCAACAGAAATGACCGTAACGACCCAAATCTTTAACAATTCGAGTGTTACTAAATTATAAGCTAAAACTAATTTAAAAATTATTCAACACAATTATATAAATTATTAAAGCATTTATCAAAATTCTAATAATGTAATGAGTTTAGTAAATTAATTTGAAACGAGAAATATCTTTAAATATATAAAATCAAATGAAATAATAATAGTTTGACAACATAATAATTTTATTATTGAAACTTTGTTACCATAAGCCATCTCCTTGCCAACCGCCTCGAATCGTCAATTATCTGAAAGTGGAGACATAATGGGTGAGAATAATTCTCAATAAGCATTTGTGGATGATGAATTCATATATGTATTTCTTCGGAAAATTCATAACTTGCATAGTGAGATGAAAATTAGAACGAACTTATATGGTACTAAATTCTCGTTCGTAGCACTACTAAACTCGGGTTTACTCTTAATAAAACATAATTGTGCGTAGCGCTACCAAACTCTGGTCTACTCTAGTAGTAAAAATTTGGAACGTTACAATCATGGTAGGACCAAAATACCCTTAATGACTACGAACTTCTAAACCCTCCACCGGGGCCTACCTCATTGCTGCCTCAGATTATGATCTCACTTGCTGTCATGATGTCATCAGACCCTGCCTCCCTTTGAATAAGCTTAATTATGGAAGAATCACCCCGTAAGGACATACTTTTGTCAAACCATACGATTAAACAAGGACTTCCCCAAAGTCATACAAAACTGGTTTAGACACAGCACTCTATCACTTAACCATGTTTTTCTGTACTAATGGTCACCATGCCAATCATTTTGCATTGTTACAAGTCCAGTTTGGCCACACTTAAATATAAATGTGTCATGTTCTCACATTGAATGCATTGCCATGACAACTGATTCAATCAAGATAAATAACCAAGGACCTGTAACTGAGTAACCATGCTTTTAAACTTCAGGAGATAGGGAGACATGCCCAAAATGTGTGTGTGTGGGTGAGAGAGAGAGAGAACTCCATTCGACTAGTTGACAAAATATTTCACTATGTTTATTTAATACACATCAAGAAGTTTTTGGTGTAGCAGTGTTTTTGCAACTTATGCTTAGAATTTTAATCAAAAATTGATTTATAATGATTAGGTTATGTGTTGTAGACTTCCAAAAAAAAGAAAAAGAAAAGAAAAAAAAAAAAAAGAGAGAAGGTTTCTAGAGTTCCACCCCAGTTTGTCTATACTTTACAATTACAGAAATAGATGAATGCTGGTGATTGAAGGTATTGAAACGAGAGAGAAATATAGAATAATTTAGTATTCTTCATGTATCTTCTTTCTTTAGTTGCGCACTTGCACTTTATTTCTGTTGCTGCCTCAAAGTAATTATGAGATTCAGTCAGTCTGGCAAATATGAGTGTTTTGTGACCCTGCAATTTAAATTGTGTTAGGTTATCTGACTAATTGTATAAAAGAATTTTTTTTGGTAAACTTGTTTCAGGTATGAGATCAAAGTGAGAGAGCAGCAAGAGTTGCTAAGAAATCAGCGAAAGATGCAGGTTTAAGTTGCATCCTATTTCTTCATACACATTTGAAAGAAGAAATAGAAATACGTAATGTTTGGAAATTAGATCCTGTCTTTCTACTAGAACTTCTTTTCTTTAGATTATTCATCTGGAATGTGACGTGCTCCTGGTGACTATGATGCTCGGACTCTCCATTCTGGTCAAAGTATCCGTGTCAACACGACATGAGCACCGGCATAGAATACGGGTTGGATTCTTCAAGTTTGAATCGGACCCGGCAAGATATCTTTAGAAAAATTGAAGATTTACCTTAGCAGCAATTTGGCTAAAGATGGAAGATGTTTGTAAAGAATTAGCAAGTTGGCTCCGGCAATCCTTGGTCTAAAATAAATCTGTTGGCTGTCTTCACTTGGAACACAAAAATCTTTAAGGAGAAGGAACACGGTGACGACATGAATGAAAGAAGAGATTTGGGTTTAATTGGAGTCTGGGCCATTTTTATTGGGCTAATAATGTGGATGTGGGTTGGCTTAATAATATGGATATGGATGAATTTAATTGGAGTTTGGGCTGCTAATAATATGGATGTGGCTGGACTTAATGATATGGATATGGATGGATTTAGTTGGAGTTTGAGCCATTTTTAATATGGATATGAGTGGGCTAATAATGTAATTTTTTTACACCACACATATTTTAGTTTAATAAAATATTCAAACAATACGATTAATCATTTTTTTTTTTCAATTCATCATTTTTAATTCAAAAAATATGGAAATATCAAAGTAACAATAAAATCTAAAAAACAAAATTGAAATTTGAAATACGTATTTACGTATCCGTGTCTGAAATTTGGACTCTTTTTAATCATGTCCTCGTATCTCACATTTTAGAAAATAAAATATTCGACACTTAAATAAATATCCGTACCTGAGTCCGAGCATCATGACCTGGTGAGAAGCATCTCTACAGAAGTACTTGCTAGTTGCTACGCCAGCATAGGATGCTTCCTTGTGTGCATGTTAATGATGAGAATTCTCTACATTCATATAATGTCACGCAGAAATTATAACATTTTATTCTCTTGCATATTTTTTTGCACACAATCCTGACTAGGCTCATGCTACTTCGAAATTGGCAGGTGGGTACTGGTGCTCGTTCAGAGAAGATTCGGACATACAACTTCAAGGTACTTGCAGTGTTTTAGGCCTTGAGCTTGAGTTTTCACATTTTTCACAAAATAAATATGTATATACCTATTTAAAAGGAGAAAATACATAGAATTATTGGAGCAACTTCTTGATGTAGCTCATTAGGAACAATGTGCCTTACAAATTCTAATTTTGTTTTTTTGTCAATAACTCTGAACAGTCAGGTATTTGCTGTAATTGAAAAGAGTCGTATCAATGGAGAAAGCATATTTCTAATTTTGTTTTCAAGTAAAATGATCTCTGCCCCTCAATTTTATTTAACATGTACTCTTATGCACTACAGGATAACAGGGTTACTGATCACAGATTAAAAATGAATTTTGAGCTCACATCATTTCTTGATGGAGACATGGAAATGGCTGTTCAGGTACATTCTCATGATGAGCTTTTATTTCAGAAAGCGGACATATTTTTCTCCTGTCTTTCCCATTCAATTTTTGTCAATATTAAGGTTCCTGCCGTTCTAATGTTTTTATTTGTGCAGTCATGTGCGGCTATGGAACAGAAGGAATTACTCGAGGAGCTTGCCGAGTCTGTAGGTGCAATGGCTAGATGATTTCCACACTACATTTGCTTTTGGCTTAATCTTCATGCCCCAGTGCACATACTGACTGAAATGTCTCCTTGGTTGGTCCTCATACCAGCATGGTCATTTTTAGGTGGTGTATATTTTCTGTGCAAGAAAAAATATACGCGTTATTGTACAAGTAGAATATGTTCACAATTATAATTTAAAGAGTTTTGTGCTTAAAAGTCAATTTGGAAAAAATTAGAATTTACAAATTTGGAGTTTAAAATTATCTCGACGAGCTGTGGATGTGTTATCTTCTATCGATTTCAATAGGCTATGCTCTTGAATGTAAATAAAGTACATGTCTGTTAAATATTCAGTCCTCGTTTCGCCTTCATTTTTTTATAAATTAAAATGGATGGAATAGTTTTTTTTTTTTTTTTTAAATGAGTAGTTAAAAAAGAAGGAAAAATTTTCGATTTACGTGTAATATTATTTTATGAAAAATTGTGTGATTGAAAATAGGAGAAAAAAATGAAATCTAATTTAATGGGAGCCAAACGAGGGCTTTTGTGAGTCAAGCACCATTTTCACATATAGTTTGGATGTGTGCTCAACACTAGAAATAGACGAGTCTATTAAAATAATATTATTATTTAACACTAGTGAAAAATGCTTTGAGTTCACGTATAATATTATTTAAATAAAAAATATTCAATTAAAAATAAATTTGAAAAATAATAGTTTGTAAATAAACTACGTTTGCATAATTTCATCTCATATATGATGCTAGTGTCACTTATAGGTAGAGTAGAGATATGTTACATATAGGTAGAGATATCAAACGATTTATTTACGTTCTTTTTCTCATTGTTAGTTAAGATAGATTCTACAATTTTACAAAAGCACTGGTGGTCCTGTAGATAATTTTATAGTAAGTCTCAATATTTACTACCTCTTAAAAGAGACGCTATAATATTACTATTCATTTATGTCACATTACTTTTTACACTATATCCAACTTATCCGATTTTGTTAAGAGTAATTTATTCATGTAAGAAAATGGGACACGTTTTCTTCTCCAAACCAGATAGTCTACTTCTTCTACTGCTTTTCTACTGTCTCCACATCCACCCTTTTACTAGTTTTCTACCTTCGTCTCGTGACAAAGAAAGAAAACCCTAGATCATTTGAATACTCACAGACCTTCAAACTTGAAGGTTCAAAGGAAGTGTCACTTATAGGTAGAGTAGAGATATGTTACATATAGGTAGAGATATCAAACGATTTATTTACGTTCTTTTTCTCATTGTTAGTTAAGATAGATTCTACAATTTTACAAAAGCACTATAGATTCTACAATTTTACAAAAGCACTGGTGGTCCTGTAGAAAATTTTATAGTAAGTCTCAATATTTACTACCTCTTAAAAGAGACGCTATAATATTACTATTTATTTATGTCACATTACTTTTTACACTATATCCAATTTATCCGATTTTGTTATAGTAATTTATTCATGTAAGAAAATGGGACACGTTTTCTTCTCCAAACCAGATAGTCTACTTCTTCTACTGCTTTTCTACTATCTCCACATCCACCCTTTTACTACTTTTCTACCTTCGTCTCGTGACAAAGAAAGAAAACCCTAGATCATTTGAATACTCACAGACCTTCAAACTTGAAGGTTCAAAGGTTTTCCGGAGCCGTGCATCGGAACTCTATTTGGTAAGATATTGGTTTGTTTTGGGGTTGGAATTTTTATTTTTTTTCTACTACGTATGTATGATTTTTCAAGATTTTAAATTCCCTTTTATGTTGTTTTTTGCTTCAACGGTATACTATTCGGCAGGTAAGATATTGGTTGGTTTTGGGGTTGGAATTTAATTTTTTTGACTTCATATGTATGTTTTTTCAACATTTAAACTTTCCTTTTTACGTTGTGTTTGCTTCAACAGTATATTATTCGACCTTCCGATACTAATAAATTTGATTTCGTGGATTTCAGTTTTCAATTTGAGACCTTTCTTCAGTTCTGTGATTTTTTGTTAGGTAAGGTTTTATTTTTGGGGGTTTTGGGATTTCAGTTAATTTTGGGAATCATCATTAAAGAAGCAATGCATGTGAAAAATCACCCTTACTTATGTGAGGCACCACAAAAAATGCTATGGTTAAGAAATATTGGCTGTTGGATTCTACAAATATGGAGTTAGTTAAGATTATCGATGTCGTGGTTGTTAAGAGGGAATAGAAAGGGGGTAATAGGGTAGAACAGGGGCATTCAGAAAATAGAAAAGATTTGAATAAATTAAAGAGGGACAGCACTTAAAAACTACCTTCATTACTGTTATTTACATTTGTTTAAATTGTTGTTCTCAGAGTTTATGCTATGCAGAATTGTTCCTTCGTTTACAATCTATTTTCCTTTATAGTTTCTGCTTTCTGGTGTTGAATTCATTGTTTTACCGAGCCTTTTTGTATTGTTCCTGGAGTGGAGTAGATGCTATCAGCATATTTAACTTTAAAAATTATTAAAATTTATTTTGTAGGTTGTTTTCAATTGGAATTTTGGATGTTCCAATAGAGAAACTGGACTATTGTACTTTTTCATTAAAAAGGATACTAGGTTAGAGCTCTTTGAGGCATAAATTCATCGATGGAAATCTTTTATTACCTTCAATAGAATATCGAAAGGTGGATACTAAATACTAATGATGAATTTTAGGAAGAACTTGAATTGATACAATCAAATCTTCAAACCTAATAATATGAAATACTGTGTGCCATCATTTCTTGTTTTTATTTTTCATTAGTTAATTTACTTTATGTTCAAACAATTTTGTGGTTATGTTTGTTGTCCTCTTTTAACGTCTAAAAGAACTATTTGATTTCGAGAAGCGAACAGTATATTTGTTAGCATGCCATTGTATTGACATTTTTTTTTTTGTTAATAGTCCTTTGTATGAAGTGCTAGAGGACACTAGGTGGCCTATTTTTTGTATCATTTGTAGATCTTAACTAGTATTTATCTTTCAATAAAAGCAAAAGATAAACAGGATAATATTTCAGATGTGCTTGACACTATTTTCTACGTTCCGATGATGTAGGACAAATGTGTAATCTTTTGGTAACGGCAAATTCTACGTAATTCAGGTATAGTTTCTTTAAACAATATCCATTTTCCACTAATTTTTTCAATTTTTCTTAGTGATATGTGAAATATCTTTGAATATTTTTTATATACAACTTTCAGTTCTTTTCTTGACTATTTTGTGTATTTCCAATTTTTAACTTGTATATTTTTGCTTCATTACTTTCAATTGCTATCCTGATTCTTTTGTGCACTTCCAGTAGTCAACTTATGAATTTATTAAATTCATGATTTTTGATGAATTACTTACATTATAGATTTAGAAAAATATTGGATGTGTAGGTTGATTGGGTGGGAGCAAAATCACTAAAATTAGAGATGAAAACCTCATTTCTTTTTGGAAGTCTTTCTCTTCTTCATCTTCAATAGTAGTATAGCAAAAACATTTACAAAATAATAATAGTATTTATGTTTTAAAAAAAACTCTTCATTTTACAAAAATCATATGAAAATAGTAATGTTTTTTTTCTCCTGCATTTAAACCCTACAAGTCTTATTAAAATTTTATTTAATCAATATTTGAGGCAGCAATGTTTATGTTTATTACTATTGCATTCAAGTAAATGATTTTTGTGATTAAACTTTAGCTTTATGCATGTTTTTAATGTTGTGAAAGTCTAATTAACTTGTGCTTGTCAAATTTTTTTCCTATTGTGGAAATTGAGTAGTATTAATATTTTTTTTTGTTATTTCATTTACTAAAATGAAATTTTTTTTTTCATTAAATTAGAGGTGAAGTTTTGTTCTCCATGAATTCTTCAAAAACATCTGCTGATCAAGAATCTAGATTTTGTAACATTGATGGTACTTCTCAAAATACAAGTAAATCATTTATTGCCTTTATTCGCCAACAACAAAATCAAAGACAGGCGGATAGGAGGAATCGAATTCAAACTCCACGCATTGATCGTCATAAAAGGATAAATGATTCTACATTATCTGGAAAAAATAATTTAGGTGCTTTCCATGCTCAGAAGTTTACAGTTCCTCCTATTTTCCAGGCTTCCACTTCAAATGAAGAATCGACTAATATCGTTCATTCTAAAGTACGAGGATTTTCTAACCTATTGAACATACCAACTAATGCATATGTATTGCCGACATGGAACTACTATGAACATTGTGGTGCACGAATATTTTATAGAGAAGCTAAAGGGTTTTATTGTTCTGATGGAAAAGTTAAACTTTATATGCCTGATTCACCGACTGAATTGTATGATTTATTTACTTCTAAAAAACCTGAATGCATGGAATTTAAGAAAATTGCACGTGGATATAATAACCATTTTGCTTTCACTTCGTTTGGTATAAAATGTGATAAAGAACTTTTTAGAACATATAAAGGTATTTAAACTTTCAGAGTTCAGGGACAAGTATTTCATTATGTGAATCAACTTATACCAGAAAATAATAAGCCTTCTTATATGTAGTTTTATTTTTATGATACAGATAACGAAATTGAAAATCGTATGAAAATTTCAGAAAATTTCGTTGAATCTACTTTGATCATTTTGATTGAAATTTTGAAAGTAAATCCATATAGTAGATTCTTTAGAACTTTGAGTAATATGACTAATTTGCATGACCATCGAATACAAATAAGATGCGATCCTGGACTTGATCAAAGAGTCTTCAATACTCCTTCGCTATGTAGTTTTATTTTTATGATACAGATAACGAAATTGAAAATCGTATGAAAATTTCAGAAAATTTTGTTGAATCTACTTTGATCATTTTGATTGAAATTTTGAAAGTAAATCCATATAGTAGATTCTTTAGAACTTTGAGTAATATGACTCATGACCATCGAATACAAATAAGATGCGATCCTGGACTTGATCAAAGAGTCTTCAATACTCCTTCGGCATCTCAAGTAGCTGCTGTATGGGTTGAGGATGATGACAATGCAAATATTCGTGCTCGTGATATTATTATATATGGTCATTCTGGTGATTCACATAGGGCTCATTATTATTATGGTTGTTATGATCCTTTGCAATATCCTTTACTTTTCCCATTTGGAGAATTTGGTTGGCATGAAGGTATTCAAAGATACCAAAAGACATATTTGAAACTAAAAATTTGGCTAATTGCGTAGCTTTTCCTAGCGCAATAAATTTTGCAACTAAAATCATTGAAAAAGAGGCCGAAGATTTGCTAATACACTTTTTTGTATGTTTTCTAACTTATATAAAGTAAGTGTTCTAGATGGATGTAAGATGCATTTTCTTTATCCTCATGTAGTGCTCAATGGAATGAAGAAACGATCTCAGGTTTCTTGTCGGGAGTACTATTCCTACAAGTTACAAATTAGACCTTCTGGTAAGTTTGTGTTACTTCACACTGGTAGACTTTTTCAACAATATGTTGTAGATATGTACGTTAAGATTGAAACTACCAGATTAGACTATTATTGTAGCAACCAAAAGCAAATTCGTGCTGAACTTTATCAAGGTATTGTAGATAGTATTCAAAATGGAGAAACAAGAGGGTCAAAAATTGGTAAGAAGATTGTTCTACCACAGACTTTCACATGTGGGCCTAGAGATATGCTAAAAAAATATTTAGATGCAATGGCTATCGTTCAACGCTATGGAAAACCAAATATATTTCTAACTATAACTTGTAATCCAAATTGGCTTGAAATTATGGAAGAACTGAAATATAATGACGAAGTTCAAAATCGACCAGATTTAATTGCACGTATATTTAGAGCAAAATTAGAAAAATTAAAAAAGGATTTGTACAAAGAAAATATTTTTGGCCCAATTATTGCTCATATATACATGATTGAATTTCAAAAAAAGAGGGCTTCCTCATGCACATTTATTGTTGATTTTCAATTCTGCCCATAAAATTTGTTGCGCTGAACAAGTTGATATGATAGTGTCATGTGAAATTCTCGATAAAAATAAATACTTGCATCTTCATTCTGTAATTGCAAAACACAATATGCATGATCCTTGTGGAAATCTTAATCAAAAAAATGTGTGTATGTTGGCAAGCAGTGGTTGTAAAAATAAATATCCTAAGGATTATTGTAACAGTACTATATTTGGTGATAACTCATATCCATTGTATAGACGTTGTAATAATGGTATTTCTATCAAAGTGAGAGGTCAAATGTTAGATAATCGATGGGTTGTATCATATAATTCTTGTTTAAGTGCAAAATTTAACTGCCATATTAACGTTGAAGTATGTTCTTCTATTAAAACAGTAAAGTATTTGTACAAATATGTGTATAAAAGACATGATCGTATTAATTGTTTCATAGGCAAAAATGAAACAGACAAGGAAATCGATGAAATTTCTGCTTATTAATCAGCTAGATGGATATATCCACCTGAAGCTATGTGAAGAATTTTTTCTTTCAATTTGTCAGAAATTTATCCTACTATTTATACTTTACAATTTCATATTAAAGATCATCAGTACGTAACTTACAATAATAAAGATGATTTATCTATTATTATTGGGAATGAGTACACGAGAAGAACAATGTTAACAGAATTTTTTCGGATGAATGAAGCAAATGAATTTGCTCGAACATTGTTGTATCGAGATTTTCCAACACATTTTGTGTGAAATGCAAATGGGAAAGTTTGGACTCCTAGAAAACAACACATTGTTATAGGACGAATTGTGACAGTCAATCCATTTGAAGGAGAACGATATTTCCTTCGTATTCTTTTGAATCATATTAGAGGTCCAACATCATTTGACAGTTTTAAAACTTTAAATGGAGTAACTGTTAATACATATCGAGAAGCAGCACTTTTATATGGTTTGTTAAAAGGGGATAATCATTGTGAAGAATGTCTATCCGAAGCTATTATTTACAAAATGTCTAATTCTTTAAGACGTCTTTGTACAACACTTCCTACACTTTATAGCCCTAATCATCTAAAGCTATTGTGGGATAAATATAAAGCCTATATGATTGATGATTATGCACATCGAAATATATCTGTTGAAGATGTTGAAGTACAAGCTTTGGAAGATATCAATTCTATATTAGAATCATTAGGTAAAAGCGTAAATGATTACGGAATAATTTCATTCTTCGTAAATATAGATGAGACTCAAAGATTGATAAGAATGGTTGCAGAGGAAACAATCAATTTCAATATTGAACGAGGCTTCAATTTTGTAGAGCAATTAAATAAAGAACAACGATTTGTATATGATACAGTTATGGAAAAAATGAATCAAGTGGTACTTTCTTTATTGATGGTCCAGGGGGAACACGGAAGACTTTTTTATACAAAGCTCTTCTAATTAGTGTAAGAAGTCAAAATTTCATTGCTTTGGCAACAGCGTCCTCTGGAGTCGCTGCATCTTTGTTACCTGGAGGTCGCACAGCTCATTCAAGATTTAAAATTCCTTTGGAAACAATTGATGAAGTGAACTGCTCTGTTAGCAAGCAATCAGCTTTAGGAATGTTGTTGAAAATGTTTAGGTTAATAATTTGGGATGAAGCACCTATGGTAAATCGTTGTGCTATTGAAGCTATAGATAGAATGCTTAAAGATATTACTGGTTATAACTTTCTTTAGGTGGGAAAGTGATAGTTTTTTTAGGGGATTTTCGACAAGTTCTACCAGTGGTACCAAGAGGGAAAAAAGAAGATGTAATTAAAGCTAGCTTGGTTTTTTCAGACCTATGGCCTTCCTATTTACATTTACCATTGGTTGAGAATATGAGAGTAAAGTTAGATCCTATGTTCTGTATTTACTTACTTAGAATTGGAGATGGAACAGAAGATGAACATACTTGTAAGTGCGTTATGCTTCCGAATAGTATAATTCTACCATTTGAAGATGAAATCACATCCTTAAAAATTTTGATATATCATGTTTTTCCAAATATACAAACATATGCTGACAATCTATATGATATGGTAAATAGTGTTATTCTAACACCTACAAATGAATGTGTTGATTATATTAACAGGATTTTACTTGAACAAATTCCCGGTAAAATTTTTACATACTACAATTTTGATGAAGCAATTGTAAAATCAGAACAAAGCTTGCAAGAATATTTCTTGAATACTTTAACACCAAATGGTATTCCACCGTATGAATTGAAACTTAAGATAAACTGTCATGTAATGTTACTGCGGAATATCGATCCTTCTGAAAGGTTATGCAATGGAACACGCCTTACCTGTCGAAAATTTGAGAAAAACGTTATTTTAGCTGAAATTACAACTGGTGAATATTGTGGAAATATGTTTTCTTACCAAGGATCTCTTTTATATCTCTTCGAAGTGATAGAAACTCACTTTTATACATTCATATACTTAAAATGTTTTAATAGGTATATTTTTTTGTCGTTTAGAAATTTTTATAATATGCTATCGTATAACGATTTCCTCAAAATTTTAATTGCATGCAAAATATGACGTTACTAGTTTTTCATTCTTTACATTCGCTATAAACATTTTTTACAGGTTCTATGAGTGGGATTCAAAAGTTCTTTTCAATTCTTTGCTACATGTGTACAAGGGAATCCTTAACGACTTGCTAGATTGGTAACCAATTTATGTCAATGGAATGTTGAAATAGAATGTCATTTCTCTATTTTTAGAATGGATTTACCTTCAAAAGTTTCACACTTTAATGAATATGAATTGTCACATAAATATTCTTCCTCAGTTATTGAAAACTAATTTCTTGACTAATGCCAACAAAGGCACTGAAAACAAACATTGAAACAACCAAAAGGAATTCGAGAATCCAGCTTAATTGAAAATTCAGCTCAGCTAAACACTCAATCAATTGACTTACTGTTTGATTTAGAAGCAAGCATAGACTTGTCTTCTATTTTCTGGATTTTTTAATTGCAGATGATTATTATTTAGAAAATTTATTCTTGACATATTATGATACCATACATTTATCGAAAAATTCGTACATCTTTCGACTTCCAAGTAACAAATAAAGGAGATTAAGAGCATCCTTAGCCTTGCTTAAAAATACATGAAAAAGTATTTTCAAACATATTTGGATAAGTTACTCCCGTTTAATCTTAAGTAAAAGTTACTTATTGTGAAAATAACTCACTTTACTAGCAAAATAGGGAAGTTAATTCTAATTTTGATCAATTAAAGAATTACTTGTTTACTCAAAAGTACTCCTTTTATATAGCCAACCATGTTGAACTCATTTTATGTATGAACTTTGCTGTTGATAATTACATTTAGAATTTAACAACTGGGTTTATTGGTTGAGCAAGCACTTTTAGTCTTTGATTAGGTTGAGGTACTATTCTTAGAGAAAGCAATGTACTATTTAAAATTGAGACAAATCTCTATATCGGTATTCTAATCAATACAATGATGCTGACTACTATTGTCAACTGTCACTTGAGTGCATAACATGAATTATTTCTAGGACCATATGAATAATTGTTAGTTTTATTAGCATTATACGTTTTATTTGATCATTTCCACTACTTTTGGTGCTTGACTCCTTATTTAATAAACTCTGCTAGGTGATCAGCTAGCAATAGCAAAGGAAACATGGTACGGTTTGGGAATGGGTACCAACAAAACGTATCCTTCATCTTCTTTACTAAGAAACAATAAAGACAAGTCAATTGTTGTATTGCCCATTGATGAGCTGATTGGAAAGGTTGAAAACTTTGTTAGTGTGTGCAATCTCTCATTACATAATATCTTTACATGGATACTGGTAAAACTAAAAATTACATATATTTTATTTTTTAATTTGTCTATGGAAAATTCTGCATATCTGGCTTTAAACGCGACGATCATACTTTTCTCATTTTCATAAGAATCTTTAAAGTGATATTCAATTATTGTATTGCATTTTCTTGGCATTTTGATTTATTAGATAATATATTACTTTTTATTTTCCAATAAACTTGCTTTCTTGTTTAATGAGTACATATGTATATTTGGGTACACAACACAAATATGAATTGTTAAATCAACTACTTTTTCATTCTTTCAAATAGTTAATTTAAGCATCAATGTTCTTGTACTTAGCCTTATTGTTGTTGTACTTACTATTAAAACTAAAGTATATATAAAAGATTAAAAAAATTCTGCAACAATTCAAGTTTTTTATATTTTGAATCACCAACTGAATTATAATCTAAATTAATATACTTCAATCATGACGACTCTAATAAAACTCACTTGCTAATTAGTAGTTTATGTTTGCATTTAGGTGACTGAGGACTATGACAAACTTTTTTAAGAATTTGATCAAGCTAATGTGAAGTTGTAAAGCATGGTTTAATAGGGAATTAAGTTCTTTTCAATGGAATTGAAATTTGATTACTTTTTAGAGGTATAAAAGGGATTTTCGATAAGAAAACATATTTTAAATGCTATGAGGTATGACAATTTTATATGTATATATATATATATATTCATATTGATTTGTATAGTATTTTTCTTTGAGATGTTAAATAGTTTTAAATCTATTATTTTTTTATTTTTTCTACGTGTACAATTAACTTTTTAAGTTAGTTGAATTATTTCAGCTTAAAACTTTGGTTAAAAATAATGTTTTCATTGACTCCACTAAATTTTTTTTTGTTTCTTCTTTAACAGACATTATCAACACAGGTGTCACTGAGCTCGGATGTTTAAAAAAATTTAGTGAGTTGTTTAAATCTTTAGATATATGTGTTAATAGTTTCACATATCTTGTAGTGTATCTTAATTTTATTATATTCAAAGACCATTTCACTTTCATTATCTATTTTTGTGAAATAATCATAATTAAAATATGACGACTTCAAATAATATACACTGCACACTAATTTCATTCTTCTTTTGTATTCATTTGTGTTTAACTTGATATTCGTCTACATTTAAATTCTCCAAGGACAATAGCAAACAACTAAACCCTAATTGCTTTTCTAAAAATAAGTTTCTAAACTTGATAAATCGTCAAGATTAAATCATTACACGTCTCCATCATTAAGCTTTTTCTTTTACAATTTCCTCCATTTTGTGTTTAAGGTTGGTTCTACAATTTAGAATTTTTTCCATGATGACTGAAATGAAAATTTATTAGTGAAATGATGAAATTGTTTTCACACTGTAAAGTTTCAATTCAAATTTCCAGTTTTTGATTCATGCATGCTGCTTATATTGGTTTTAACTAATGACAGCATGTACTAGAGAGGGGAATGTTGGGAATCTACTTACACATGCACAACGGAAATTAAAAATATTTCGATTCTCACCGAGGATTCCTTTGTGTTTAGATAGAAATCGTGATAAAGATTGTACCTTTGAAGAATTCTGCAAACATTTTGCTTTTCTTTTCGTTCCAACAATCTTGAATTTGCCTCCCATAGTTGTCCAATTGTCCAGCCTCCAATGAAATTCACACAGAGAATAGATTGTAACTGCTAGGGTTTTTCCTCTTATGCCAGCAAGAATAATGAAAACCATATGAACCTCAAACCCTAATCATGTATTTATATAAACTCAAACGGGCTCGGCCCAGTCTGGTTCAATGTTTAATTAATCCATTTAATTAAACTCAGTCCGTGAATTAATTAATCCAATTAACTAATTCGGGAATATAAATAATAAATCTAATTAATTAATTTATCTAACGATTGTTAAATTAACCAATTGGCAATCTGCAATCTTCCAATTCTCTTTTGTGTGTGACCCATTAGGTTCCTGACCACGATGCCTAACGACGTGAAATATTATTTTGATCTAATCAAAATTAATAAATTAAAACACCCTTTTAATTTATCGTCAATTCACACTCGCCGTCCCTGATTGACATCTAGCAATGTGTCAGGGCAATACATATGACGAAAAATGTCATGTGGTGTGACAAAACCAAACTCGTTCGTTTACCGTGAAACTATAATCCCTTCGTCAATATGATCCGATCAATTACGAGATATGGAAGTGTGTCAATCTCGATCATCGATCATATATTTCACTCCACTATTAAGTCAATATAAGTCGAAAACTTCTTTTCGACTTATGAGTACACCTTGGCCAAGGATTTCATCATCGACTTAATTGAATGAAACGTAGATCATAATCTCCTACTATCTAAAAGTGACGAATCCTTTATTAATCAATCACAACTTTCATACCTTTCTTGAAGTACCCGAACGATGTCGTATTAGCGGCCCTTTGCAGAGCAACATCCAACACCGTCAAAGTATGACTGTCCTCATATAAGGTACCATGACGACCTCAAGTCAAAGGACCAATTTCACTACCGAACGTTAGAGATTAACCACCGACACTCAGATAGTTATCCATGTGGAATCTCTCGACGGGTCTCCAATGTTTTGTTCTATAACAAAACATCCACGTGTTCATTTACGTATCACCATACTTTAACTTGTGAGATCAGCTACTCACTTCACAAGTAAGAAATGCCACACGTGATGGTCTATCCGTAATAACGATATCCGTATCCCGTTATTACTTACAACCACGGACGATTTAAGATTCAATCAGATGTAATTTGTATCTCATAATCACAACTCCTTGTGATTAACAAATTACGAAGATTTGAATCTACGGACTCTATTATTTATTTAATTGTCTATTAATTAAATAATAGATCTGCCATTAAATTATATTAATTATATATACAAGTATTTATGTCCAAAATTGATTGGACTTAGGGCATAATACTTACAGAAAAAGCCTCATGAAAGAAACCAAATTATTAGTACAATAACTAGATCTATAGTACAACTGAGCCAGCATAAATTTACTTCAAATGTTGTTGAAAAATGTCTACAGTGTGGTGATTCAACTGCAAGGGAGATGCTGATAAAGAATATTAATTGGGCATGGTGATAAAAACGATAATTTATTGGTACGTCTATCTAAAGCTTGTTGTTAACCATTTGTTGAATTCATGCGGTTCCTGTTGCTAAGTGGAAAATGCTAGATCGGGTAATACTGATTTGAAATTCTCAGATAATAATGCAAGCGTTAGAATTAGCATGAATGTTGTTATTTCTGATGTTAGTCTTTAGCATTTGGTCATACTCTATCATGGTTTACCTGTACTTGTCCTTTATTTGGTGCATGAGCACGTGTATGCATTAGGTCACATTAATCTGCTTTATCATATTATAAATTAAAATTTGTATTACATATTGAAGATATTTATTATTTTGTGTTTGAAGATTAAAAGCTTATGTGAGAAAACTAAAGAGGTAATAATGAAGGAAAGTATACAAATTTCTATTATCTTTCTACTTCTATTTTTGTTAAACATTAAAACTTGT